TTGGTACACTCTAAACTTTTAAAACCTTGAATCACAACTATTTATCACCCATCAGGGAGCCACATAAAATGGCTTTTCCTTCAGAACGTCTATTTTCTCATAAAACTCATTTAAAAAGCAAAAAGACAATTAAGAATACATTTTAAAATCTACATTACCGCCCAGCTAAGAAAGATCCTTACAAGTCTGACCCACTGAAATTAATGCCACCTGCAAGCTGTAAATATGTGTATTATTTCATTTTTCTCCCCCAAGTATTTTCTTTGGCTGTTCCATTCAGCTGAACAAGGCCTAAAAATTGTCAAACTGAATTCTTGTTCAAGAGTAGAGCTCTAGCTACTGCCAGTTTGAGTGAAGCACACAGCCAGGTTTAGGGACTGTGTTTTATTTACTTTGGCTGCAGTGCAGGGGAGAACATTTTCCATCCCATCCGAATGCAGTCAAAAAGGGTTTGAAATATTGCACAATAAAAGCCATTCATTATATCTGTCTCCTCTCCCTTCCCCAAACAGGAATGGTTGACCAGCTCCAAATCCATGCAGGGGGCAGGAAGATGGGAGTCAAGGGGTCACTGGAAGTAACCCAAGACTAACACCAGGTTTTTCAGGTTTGGCTTAGGGAATATGTTCCATGCCCTCATTCCCAGTGCACACAGGTTTTGCTTCTCCCAAGCTTTGCTTCGAGTAGTTAATTGCTCTGTTATGCACAATTTACAGGAGTTAATTATAAAACTAATACATTAGGCTTCTTGTCTGGAAGTCACAGGTCCAACTTCATCTTTTCTGCTGGGACACAGTGGGATTAGACCTGATTTCCAGTTAACACATTTGGCTTTGCAGTGGTTATTGTTTACCTCCTCATCCGTACCTTTACACCTGGATTTTAACTAGTTACTGTTTACCTCCTCATCTGTACTTTTACACCTGGATTTGCACTGTTTGTTCACCTCCTCATCTGCACCTTTACATTTGGATTTTAACTAGATACTGTTCACCTCATCTGTATTTTTACACCTGGATTTGCACTGGTTTTTTTACCTCCTCATCTGTACCTTTAGCTCTGGATTTGCACTGTTTACTGTTTACCTCAAGTTCAAAACATCCAACTGAATCTTAACCCTTAGGCAAGTCCCACATCACCTCTTGCCTCCCTAATCAAAAACTACATTCACGGCTTGGTTTGTATCTATTTCCAGTGCTTACCTACCTTCAGCAGCTGGAAAATGACATTTCTTTCCCTGCCCACTGCTGTTCCTGTGTGTCCAAGCTATCCTTGGCATACTGCAGTGGATCTTTTCCTCCTCCCTCTCTCCATTTCTTTGTCCATAGGTCTAACAATGCTTTGCTGTTTGCCTCCTTGGACATGAAGCAGTTCATCACCAAAGTCTTTCCAGAGAAGTAGCAGAGTGGGAGGGCTCAGACTGAGGAGGAAGAGCAGAGCCAAGCATTTTAGTGCATTTCTAAACAACAGCTAGACTAGATGAACCCACAATAGTGACATTTATAGGCAGAACTCAGGTGTTTCAGCATCTCCTTCTATTGCTCAGTCAGAAGGGAGTACAGAAAAATAAGCTGAAAAGCAGATGAAACTTTAGGTACAATTAGATTAAAGTAAAATAAATAAAAAACATATACAATTGTTGTTTTCTTCCCTCTGTTTATCACGGCAGGGTGAGAAAACTTCTGCTTCTATTAACTCATATGGGAGAAACTTGGTTAGTTCATCTCCACTTTTATAACTTACGATCGCAGCAAAATATTAGAATCATAAAATCGTAGAATCAACTGGGTTGGAAAAGACCTCCAAGATCATCAAATCCAACCTTACCATGGACACTAGTCCATGGCACTGACTGCCACATCCAGTCTCAGCCTAAAAACCTCCAAGGATGGTGAATCCACCACCTCCCTGGGCAGCACATTCCAATCCCTGATCACTCTCTCCATAAAAAAATCCCTTCCCAATATCCAACCTAAACCTCCCCTGGCAGAGCTTGAGTCTGTGCCCTCTTGTCCTGCTGCTGTTGCCTGGGAGAAGAGACCAACCCCCACCTGATTCCAGGTGAAGTCCAGGGGAAGAATCACTTCCCTGGAAAACATTAACACTTTACCTTTGATACTTTCAGAAGAATTGAAGGCTAAGTGTTGTAGCCTGAGCTCACTAACACCAAGCAAAGCCAAGCAGATCTATTCCGAGCCTGAACCATCAGCTCTTGAGCCTCTCAAGATGCACTTCACAGACAGCACGAGCAAGCGTGATGTGTAATTACTCTTACTTATTAACAACGGCGTAATTTACAGAGTGGCAAAATAATCAGTCTTTCCAGGCCCCTCCACTTGTCCTCTCGTCAGGCAGAGCAGGATAATTACGTGCAAGCTGCTACATGCAATTAGTCAGCAATATACACTTAGTGCTATTACCATGCCCGAAGCCATTTCAAGCCTGTACAACATGGCACTTAGTGAGCCAAGTAGTTCTAAACACAAGGTGATCTTTCTAACAAGCCTCTAACAAGGGAAAAGCCTCTTTTTGGAGGAGTAGGGAGGACAGAGAGGTGAAAAGGTTGGGCAGGATATGCCACTGTCATGCACACACTGAGCTGGAGCTCAGCATCACACAAACCCAGTGATAGAGCACCGAAATCTCCTCCAGGCACAGCTGCACCCAGCTGCTGAGAACCAGAACCACTGACACCTGTGTGCTCTCACCCCCCCATTTTAATTAGGATTCCTAATTAAATGGCAATAAAGACACCACATGACTCCAGGATAGGGCCAGTGAAATTGCAGGTCATTCAAAGGTAAATGTCAGGTTAGCTTTGGAAAGGCAGATGTGAAGATGGAGCAGCAATGGACATAGCTGGTCACACCTCCTGGAGAACGGCTCCGAGTTGTAGGTTCCACATCCTCAGGACTCTAGAGCTCCACTCCTGAGCAGGAGCAGTGCCTGTCTGAAGCACCAAGAGCACTCTCCCTGATTCCCCAGTGCTTTCCCATGCCCAGCAGCTCCCAGTGTCAGCAATTCCCCAACTCTCTATTCCAGGACAGATTCTATCTCAGGTCTTAACTGTTAGGCAAATCCCACATCACCTCTTGCACCCCTAATCTCCAGCAATCAGAAAACACAGCCAGAGGAAACCTCCCGAGGCCATCCAGGCCCTATTCTTGCCCCTAGGAAGGATCATATGTCATTCCTGACAGATATTTGTTTAATCTGTTCCTAAAGGCCTCCAGTGATGGAGATTCCACAACCTCCCCAGGCACTGTATTCCCATGCTCAACTATCTCTGCTGCTAAACTTTGTCTTAATGTCCGAGACATTTTTCTCTAATTTAAACACATTTCTTGTCCCTCTCAGTGCAGATAGAGAGAACAGATTATGAGCCCCTACCTCCCTAACAACGACCTCCTGCAGACCTGGAGACTTGTTGCAAGTCCTCTCCAGACTGAGAAGCAGAAAAAATTCTAGACAGAGGAAGGACAAAAGGAATAGAGAAGGACTATGAATAGAAATACATCTTGGAAATAACTGCAACCTCTTCGCTGTAGGTTCCAACCTCACCTTTGCCTTGCAAACTGCCATCAAGCATTCACGAATTCCCAATCACCCTTGTCAGCCAAGCTGTGGCAGGAAGAAACTCCAAGCTGATTTCTCCTCCTTAGCCTTACTCTGCTGTTCCTGACTTTGTTCCTACTTCCCAGCTGAAGGACACTCAGCCCAGGCCCTCACAGGACACTCCACAGGGCAGGGTCTGGGCAGCACGTTAGGCAAATCCCTCTAGTATGCAAACATGGAGCTATTGCTCTTCCTCTAGGCCAACTCTTCACTTGGCCTGACTATCCCAGCCTGGAATTCAGGCTCTGACACCCTCAGTGCTAGATTTGGTGACTCAGGTACACCCAAACAGCTCGAGTACAACCGTAGAGTTTGACCGTGTTTAAGAGCAGGAAGTGACTTCCATATAAAAGTCACATCTGATTCCAGTGCAAAGTTCAGTTGGTGTGTGGATGTGTTTTTTTTGAACACGAGAAGAAGCAGCTATTAACAGTGTTAATCTGAAGGAGCTTTAACTTTCTCTTTTTAGATTTAAATCTTCTCAGTGAAGATTTCGTACCAACTGTGATGCTACTCTGCGGCTCAGAAAGCCCCAAAGCCCATGTGAGCCTGCCCTCTCCTGGCAGCCACAGCCTGCGAGCACTGCATCCCGCCCAGGCTGCTGCCACAGCCACAGCCAACAGCAAATCCCAAACTAAACCAGCAAGGAAACTGGTTTTGGAGGGATTTAAGACGTGCAGGGACATGGTGGGCTGGCAGGGCTGGGGGAATAGTTGGACTCAATGACCTTAAAGCTCTTTTCCAACATAAGTGATTCTGTAACTTGAACAACAAAGGTTTAACAGCTTTTTTTATTCTTGCAAAAAAATGACCAAACTTCACAGCAGAGAAGCAAAATTCATTAACTCTTTCTAACACAAAGTCTTACTCCTCTTTACTTGCTCACAGCCAGGAGTTAAGGCAAAGTCTTTTCAGAAGACAGGAACAGCTTTCCCACATCCTCCCCTTCAGCTCTGAGCCACAAGTATTTTCCTTCTTATTTGCAGAGGTTTTTAAGGGTATTTTTGAAATCCATGCAGATTTCAACAGCAATTTGTAAGGCATCATGAAGTCCATGGGAACAAACACTTCAAGCACTTGCAGCTGGGAGAATATGTGCTTTATATTTACATCATGGTTTAACTACTACAACAAATCCACATTCAGCATGGGAAGAGCATTTCTTTATTCCCTTGACTACCTTCCATAACTGTCCCAGACCAAAGCTCTGGGCTAAGCTAAGTCTTCCACCCAGTTCTGATCCTCAAGCATTTTAGGCACCAAGACAAGAAAAATCAATCCTGAGCTATGCAGAAAATGAATAAAGACATAGTAAGGAAGGAAATATAAGTGTGAGGGAAAACAAAACAGCACCTGGAGAGAACATAAGGCCCTAACACTCACCTTCACTTCAGAAAATGAGAGGGAACTGAAGCCTTGCTAAATGTTAGCTCAAGAGGTATTTTTACTTCTTCAGAGAGTTTTTGGTTACTTCTGTCCTTCCTATACACAGAATTTGATATTCTCCTTTTCTGGGTTGGAGCCCAGGAGGCTGTTTCTCGAGCTGTGGCTGTACATATGCTGCTCCTCCTCCCCCTTCTGCAATGCCCAGCAGCAGCAGGGACAGAGTCCTCATTCTCCTTCCCTGGGGCTGCAAACAGCAGGTTTTGCTCTCTGTGTGGAGCAGATCCTGTGAGGATGGATGTGCTGATGGTTCTCCTGGTCCTGGGAGCAGAAGCTGGCAGGGGAGGCTGCCTTGGGATCTCACTGGGGAGTAGGATCCATGCAAGTCCTTCACTCCCAGTGTCTCTACTTAGCCTCATGCTGCGCCTTACTCTCACTTCCCCACTGGTGCTGCTCTTTCTCCTCAAGGAATGGGAGGAGCCACCTCTAGGCTGAGGAACAGATAAAACTTCTTCCACATTATAAGATGAAACAGGAA